TCCCAGCCCACTCTGATCTTCACATCCCTTAACTTATCCCCCCTGCTTCTTTTTAGGGTTTGCTAGTTGATACCTTGAACTCTTGTCTATCTGTGTGTCTCTCTTACACAAAAATATACAAATGTACATATCCGCCTTTCTATGGCACTCTAATTCGCCAAGTATTTTCAATTCTGAGAAGTAAGTAGTTCAAGTATCATCATTCGTATTTCATAAATGAAGTAATTGAGGCTCAGAAAAGGGAAGTGACTTGCCTAGGGTCACAAGGACAAGAGATTGCAGAAGATAGGGCTTAAAGAAGCACTTTCTTCAATGACAAATGATCTCAGGGATGCAGGTACTCCCTCCTTCAGATTACAACATGTCTTCTTATCCAATCCTGTCCATGGATTCTTGTCCCTGCACTGAATCCTGCCCTGAATCCTCCATAGATGATCCACCTAATTTGCTAGAGACCTTCCTCTAGTTCTTCCTCTAGAACATCATACATAGGACATAGGCCTTTACGAGAGAGAACATATTAGACTGAGTCTGGGGATTGGAGTTTGGTAACCTTGGACAGGTCCCTTCCTTTCCCTTAGCACCTGTTTCCTCATCTACACAATGACAGAGTTGAACCACATGACCCCTCAAAGTGGCTTGGGGAATTCATCAGGCACCAGATTCCTGCTTTGTGGATATTAATAATGCAATGTGATACATCTGGCCTTGACATTAAAAATCCTCTATTGTCAACCTAACAAGCCCTAAATACCCATTCTGGTTCCACTCCAGTAGCCCAAGATTGTTTCCATGTTTGTAGTGACGATGTGGTTGTTCCTAAAAGAAGAGTACAGCCATAGCATTTCTGTCAAAAGGAGAAAAGAGTGCTTTTCCTATTTTTATCTCCAAGCTTGTTCCCCAGATCATTGCTTATCACGGTACTAACACCTCTAACACAGAAAAGCCTCATGGAGCAGAGAGGCAGTGGGATACAGGCAACATAACACTGAATTTAGAGTCAGAGAACCTGTGTTCAAGTCAAAGCTTTTCTACTTACTATCTGAATGGCCTTGGACAAGTCATTTAACCTCATAGGCCTCAGTTTTCTAATCTGTAAAATGAGAGGATTAGACCAGATGGCATCTAAGGTCTCTGTAGCTTTAAATGCATTATTTTATTATTAACTCAAAGGGCTTTTTTTTTTTTTAAGGCAATTGGGGTTAAGTGACTTGCCCAGAGGCACACAGCTAGTAAGTGTCAAGTGTTTGGTCTGAGGTCGGATTTGAACTCAGGTCTTCCTGACTTCAGGGCCAGTGCTGTATCCACTGCCCCACCTAGCTGCCCCTCAAAGGGCTTTTGCAAAGGACACAGGTATCACTGACTTTATAACACAGTTTATTAAATCTAGACCCATCCAAGTGTTCTCTGCATCCAAGTCTTGAAACAGCTTAGTCAAGTCAACATCTATGATTTGCCCAGGGAAATACATAATAGAATTGGTCAAATGATCATAGATTTAGAGCTGGAAGGACCTTATAGACCATCTAGAGTTTTATAAATGAAGAAACTGAGGTCAAGAGACATTCAATGATTTGCCCAAAGGGGAAAAGTAGGAATCTGAACTCAGATTCTCTGACTCACAAATACAGCACTCTTCATGGAACCACATTAAGAACAGAGAACTACCCAGAGACAGTCACTAGGAAGCAACAGACCCCCCACAATCCATAGTGTTCTAGGTCAAATAGGCTTGACTTGACTCCCTGGCTCTTCCTTCTTCCCAGAGAAAGATCTCTACAACAGAAGTAGAGCATACATTTCTAACAAGGACAAGCCCAAAAGTTCTACTCTTCTGTACTTTTGTTAATTGCCAGCATCCCTAGAATAAGAGAGGCCAGTGTTGTACATTGAACCAGTTGCACATAGTTGTTTGCTCTGGCCATGATGGCTGCACTCACTTCCTTCATGTGGTAATAGAACCAAAGTTGAAAAGAACAGTAGCGGGAGCTGATCCAGCACGGCATTAACTGGGTTGACCTTGGCAGTCATGTGACAAAAGTTGTAGTATTAACAACAGTGATGTTGTCAAAGACAACTGGGTTTTATCAGGGGTGGGATCTCACCCTTTCCATCACTCTCAAGGTGAGGAACCTGAGAAAACATATATAGTTACACTGATTTAGGATCAGATTCATTGCCCAAAGGCTGTAATCTCAGCGGTTCATCAGCTGAAGTGATACTTGGAAACTATTTTTAAGTGCCTGAAAACATCTATTCCGTCTGCTTTCTTTGGATGATTTTCATTCTGCTTTATATTCGAACATGTTATATTTCATCTTTAATTAAGTGCAAGATGCCTCAAGTCCTTTAATAAGTATGTGAGATATAAATAATAAAGTCATAGAATGTTAGGATATAGAATATTAGAGATGGAAGGGACCCTAGAAACCATCTAATTACAAGCCCATAATTTTTCAGATGAGGAAATGGAAACCTGGAGAACTAAATTGCCCAAAGTCACATGATAAGTTGGTCACAAGAGCAAGATTAGAAATAACCTAGGCCTGTTGACTCCCAGTCCAGTCTTCCTTCTACTATATCGTATTATATTGATTCTCATTATATCATATTGCTCAGGGCCAGAGGAGCTAGGATACACATCAGGTAAATTTTGAGGAAAGAGGCTAATTGAAAGGACAGATACTATAGTAAAAGATCCTGATGGGGGAAAAAAAAAGAGAGAGGGTACTGGTGGCCTTAGAGGTTAGGATGGGAATGGAAGAGAAAATACTGAAAGGAAAGCAGGAATGGGAGAAAGGGAAGGGAAGGAAAATAAGCATTTATTAAGCACTTACCATGTGCCAGACATTATGTTAAGCACTTAACAAATATTATCTCATCTGATCCTGATGACAATCCAGAGAGGTAAGCGCTATTATTATCCCAATTTTACAGATAAGGAAAATGAGGCAGACAGAGGTTAAGTGACTTCTCCAGGGACACACAGCTAGTAAGTGACTTAAAGTAAGGACACATTTGAACTCGGGTCTTCCTAAGTCCTGGTCTAGTGCTCTGTCTACTGTACCTTTAAAGTTCCAGAAGAAAAGTACCAGAGCACAGCTTCACCTATTTGTTAGCTTTATACATAACTAACCCTGTTTAGAGAAAATGAACAGTGAATCTCAGTGATCTGAAGCTCTTACTGAGTTCTAGTTTTCATTTCTGATCCCCAAGATAAAAGCCCAGAATCAGAGAGGAAAAGCAAGAGCACACACTCTCCATTCCCCTCCTTACCCCACTTCCATTTATTTAGCCTATATCTGAAAACCCAACAACAACAACAACGACACATGATACCCCTTTTTTTATGTGGTTCAACATTCACTGTGACACCATATACTTATGTTAATGTTATGTAACATATACGCTCTCATTTGGCTTAAAGCTTAACTGTATCATTTGGTATAAAAATTCACATATATACATACACATATATATGTGTGAGCGTATATATATATATATATGTATATATTTGTATATATACACACACTGGTTGTGCGGTTGAATATACTATATAGAGAGATAAATCTAGATACATAGGCATATTATATATATGTATGTATATATATGTATATACATACATACATATATATGCTACTCACACATACAACTCTATCACATATACTTCTTAAATAACACAAAGGACGTTGATTTGTTCTCTCACGTGATCTGCGTACTTTAAGTCCAAAATTAAACTTCCTGTCTGACTGGGGCATGAGTATTTCTAAAAGAAATGCACATTCCCTACTTCAGACCAAACCCAAACATTTAAATGTAGAGGATTTAAAGGCAAAAACAGAGAACACACCAAGAACATAGGTTAAGGGGCCTTGAAACCTGAGTTCCTATGCTGAAGAACCCTTAACAAACCACTTGACCTCTCTGTGCCTTGTTTTCCTCGAGAAAAGGAGACAATAGCCAATTTGGGGTTGAGTTTGAGAATCTCCTGAAATAATATATGGTAAAATATTTTAAAATGTAAAATGGTATTATCAAATATCTTCCCGAACACATTGAACTCCTTTATATATCTTTAATTTTTGATCCTAAGTACAATATAGTTGATATGATCCATTCTTGGGAAGGCTATGATTTGTGCTCCAATCAATTTGGCAGACCAATGAACTCTGGGTCTATAAAATAAACAGTACTTCCTGAAAAGAGTGTAAATCAAAGAAGTTGAAATTCATGGATCAATGAAGATGAGAAAGGCCAAATGGTTCCTTTCAACTTAGAGCATGGTAGAATGGATAGAGGGCTTTTAGTCAGGAAGACTTGGGTTCTAATTCTGCCTTATACTTAGTTTTTTGCCCCTGAGAAAGTCACTTAACACCTCTGTGCCTCAAGTTTTTCCACATGTAAAATGGAATTGATCATTTCTAAAGTCCCTTCCAGCTCTAAATCTATGATTCCCTAAACTTTGACATTCTATTATCTAACATCTTTGTTCTAAATTTCTTACAGAACCAGTATCGTGAGTTTTATGTGCTAACTGTAAGTTCTCTTCCAATTCAGTGTTCTATGTTCTAGCATTTCAAGAGTTCTAAGTTCTTTTCCAAATTTGATGTTTCCTGATTCTATGAAATTCCATTAAAGCACAAAGTCTACTGCCAGGGTAGGTTATAAGCTCTGAGTAGGGCATGTATCAAATAATAAACAGGTCTCCCCATTGACCTCAGCTGAAAAGCTAGGACATTAGAAGGTTTTCATTTTGTTGTATGAAACACATTAGTTTATTATCATTAAAAAGAGGCTCTATATCAGCCTGAGTGATATTGAAAAACTCAAATGACCTTTGGCTTATCAAAAGGACATCCTCTCACACAGTGGAACCATCTTATCATCAGCAAACATCCAAGTCCCACCTCTCCACCCTACCTCCCAGTAAACAACTCATGGCAGCAAGCCTTCTGACTTACTGACTCCTGGCTTCCCTCCCTCCTTCTCCAATCACTCACCATCACAGAAATATGCAATATATGCATTTGGTCATCCACAATCTCTGAAGGCTCTTGAAGAGTGGGAGGAGTGGCCCTTGACAGCTGCCCAGCACTGCCCATGGAGACATGGAAATAGAGGGTGCCATTTTCTAGCCACTGCTGCCGCCAGTGCACCAAGGAGATGTCTGCTGCTGTTCCTGACATCTCTAGAAGAGACAAAAGACAAGTAGCTGGATTAACTATGTGGCCCATACTCCGTGTTCTGGAGACACTTGTGAGGAAGATAGGATAATAAACAGCTTTTTAGGTGGCACCAAGATTATTCTGTAAAATTGACTTCAGCCACTCATCAAGCTGGAGGTGCATAATAAAAGAAGCTAAGCAGAGCACTGAATTATATTATCTTGAATAAGTCATTTTCTCTCTCTCTCAGTCTCAGTTCCATTATAATACAACTATTAGCTCACATTTATATAGTGCTTTAAGGTTTAAAAAAACCCTGTATTTTCTCACAACAATAACATGACATACATAGTACTAGGGTGATTAGCCCTAATACTAAATGATAAGCTCAATGAAGGCAGAGACTATGTGTCCTCTTAAGCTTTCATCCCTCCTAGTATTCCATATACAGTGCATACTTAATGTTTGTAGAATTGAATCCCTGTTGTATGGATGAGGCAAATTGAAAGAGCAAGTGATTAGTCTTGGACCACACCACTTAAAAATAGGAGTCCCATGGATACCTATAACCCAAGTTAAATAAAGTGATTAGACTAGTTTTAGATGAATAGATTTTTGTCAACCTGTCCCACTGAAAAGGTTGGATTTTTTGTTTTGCTTTATTTTGTTTTTGCTTTGTTTTAGTAGTAGTTTTGGTGGACTATTATCCTTATTTCTCTAAATATCAGTTTTACATTTGTATAAAATTCTTTTCCACTGTACATGGGAAGGGGCAGAACAGGATCTGAAATATAAACTCTTTACACTTCCAATTGAACTAATTGTACTAAAATTCAACAAGAATAAAAAAATAAAATTCTTGAATAGTTTTATAGAAAGGCAGATCTTAATGAAACATCAGTATAAAATAATAATTACTATTTAAGAGATCTCTATGACTTCTGGGCTTGCCAGCTTTCTTTTTAGAAATGCTTTAGTATTACATTCATTTGTGCTATATTAGTATTCTTTTGGCACAGCTTCATAGGCTATTAAAATATTATCATCAATGAAACTATGAGTCATATGTTGACATTCCTTAGATCTGGGTTCTAGGTCAGAGTCTGTCACTGCATTGTTTTCTGACCTTCCTTGGTAAGGCCATTTCTCTCTGTTTAGGTTTCTTTATCTGTAAAATGAGGGGTGGGGTGGGTGCCCTAGATAATGCCTAATGTCTAATTCTAGAGCTAAAATCCTTTTATCTAAAACTTTAAAGTCAGTGATCTTATTAGTATTGATATCCCTTCCACCTATGTAAACTACAGCCTCTCTTCTGCATGGCAAACAGCCTTTGAAAATGTCCATCAGAAAAAAAAATGCATCACAGGATAATAGATGTAGAATTGAAAAGATTTCAGAGGCCATCTGGTATTACTCAGTCATTTTACAGGTAAGACAACTAAAGTCTAAAGATGTTCAATTACTTAACTAAGGTGTACAGGCAGAAAGAAAACAAAACAAAATAGAACAGAGGCAGGATTTGAACCCAATGTGGCACAGTAGAGAGAACACAGGGCTTGGAATCAGGAAGACCTGAGTTCAAATCCAGCTTCAGACACTTACTAGCTGTATGACCCTGGGCAAGTCACTTAACCCTCTTTCCCTCAGTTTCCTCATCTGTAAAATGAGCTGGAGAAGGAAATGGCAAACCACTGGAGTATCCTTGCCAAGAAAACCCCAAATGCGGTCACAAAGACTCAGACATTCCTGAAACAACAGCAACAAAACTTGTGACTCCAGAGCAACTGCTCTTTCCACTATACTGTTACCCTGTAGCTAACCTGGTGTTAAGCCCTTTGGAATTTAATTACATTGATTTTCAGACAAAAAGGATGCAAAACCTTTCTGGCTGGAAGCTGTGCTCTGCTGGCAAAATCTCTGTGAAACCAGAATCATATCTATTCTGCAAGCAGACATGGGAGGAGGACTTTGGTGGAAAACAAATATCCTACATTCCAATATTCTTTATTCTAAGATATTATCCAATTCTAACATTTTATGTTGTTACATTCTTTGTCCTAAAGTTCCTACATTACCAGAAAAAATTAATAAATATTTTATTATCTTCAAAAAGGCATTTGAAAGGAAACCACCTACTACCAAGTGATTAATCATAATGATGATCTATACACATATTGAGGGAATCGATGAAAATATGAGAAATAAGTAGGCTTTTAGAGAAAAAAAAACACTACAGTAGACTAAATCTTAATTCTTACAAATTGTCTAAAAGTTAGAGTGCTTGTGTTCTCAATGAATTTAGTGAATTGCAAGACAAAATTGCATTTGACTCAGGAGGAAGCTTCAAAGATTCTCCTCCAATATGGAGTCCTTCTTGGATATATTTAAATTGTATAAAATTTCTTAATAAATGCAACCAATGCTGCTTAATGATCCTCTGATTATTTACATCGAACAAAGCATAAAACAAAAAAATGGGTGCTCTTCCAAATTGTTTGCTGCTATCTTTGCAGATGCCTTGTGCACGATTTAGAAGAAAGAGGGATTCTCTAATAATGCTAAAGTTCTCCAGAAACACCCATTTGTGGATGATATTGTGTTTTTGCTTCAAGCTCCCAAACATTACAGGGCTTCCTCAATAGAATATATACTTATCAAGATGAGACTAGACAAATAATCCATGACAGAAAATCAAAATGGATGAAAAATGTCAATTATCCAGGCTATTACGTGAAGTTGGATTGAATAGGCATGTCAGTATATGTATTTCAGACACTGTGGATCCAATTTAATCCAAATCAAAAAAGAACTTATTAAACACCTGTATATAAGAACATTAATAGGCAAGGGAAAAAAAAAGAAAAAAGGAAAATAGACCCTGTCCTCAAGGAGCTTACATTCAGAAATGCACGGATTTTTTCTGTTTAGATCTATTTTAAGCTCCATTGGGTTTGATTATCATTTCTGTGCTGATAATTCTCAGATTTATTTATCCAGCTGTACCCTCTCTCCTAACCTTCAGTCTTACATCTCTATATAATCTTCTTACATAATCTTAATAATCTTACATCTCTATATACATCTTCTATAGAAGCCTATAGGACTTCTTGAACTGGATGTCGAATAGACATCTTAAATTCCACATGTCCAAATCTAAACTCCATATCTCCACTCCCCACTCCATCTCTCACCTCTTCCTAATTTTCCTATTATTGTTGAGACCACTTCAATCTTCCCAGATACCAAGGCTTGCAAAACTAGGTATCATTCACAAATTCTTATTTTCTCTCACAAACCTTATCCCATCCAATCTGTTCTGCCTTGATAATATCTGTAGTATACTATATATTATCTTCTCTCCTCTGACACTGCCACCTCCTTGGTGCAGACCTTTACTACCTTATACCTGGACTTCTGGTTGATCTTTCTTCAAGTCTCTCTCCACTCTAGCATATTCTCCACTCAGCTGTCAAACTGATATTTTCAAAGGACAGATCTGATCATGTTACTCCTCTATTCATCAAACTCCAGTAGCTCCCTATTACCTCCAGGATCAAATATGATATCCTTTGTTTGATATTCAAAACTCTTCTAAAATATACCTCTCCTACCTTTTTCAGTATTTATACCTTACTTCCCATCACATATTCAGTGATCCAGTGGCACCAGTCTCCTTGCTGTTCCTCAAACAACAAACTCCATTTCCTGGCTCTCTGCATTTTCCACTGGCTTTCCTCCAATTTCCTGCTTGGAATTTTCTCACTCCTCATCTCTGTCTCCTGGTTTCCTTCAAGTTCTAGGCCATATTCCAAACCTTTTACAAGAAACCTTTCCTGATCAACCTTAATGTTACTGTTTTCTCTCTGTTGATCTGTATATATCTTTTTTTTTGCTCAAGTGGACAACACGCTTTCTTTCACCTTGGAGTGAGCTCTTTGAGAGCAGAGAGTACTTTTTTTTTCCCTTTGTTTTTTTTCCCCCCATTTATTTGTATCCCCAGAGCTTAGCACGATTCCAAGCACAGAGTAGACACAAAAAAAAATGCTTGTTGACTGGTGCTTCTAGAGATGTATCCATTTTAAGAACTAAGTTTTTAACCTGAATTGGAATAAATTTGAAAATAAAACACTCAAATTTAAATAATCAAATGTACTCAGGAAACAAGTATTCAGTTCATTAACTTTTGACTAAGAAACTACATGTTCTGGGGAAAAAAAGCTAAACCACATTATTTTGGAAGCCTGCAAATAGAGGCTGTGAAAGAGCTATTAAATAGAGGAAACCTGGGTAAAATCACAGTAATAATCAACGTACCAAGAGGCATACTGTGAAATGAGTTCCTATTTGCAAAATTGTTGGCTATAGATTTTTTTGTTTCAGAAGGAACATAGCATAATAGATATGCACTAGACCTGGAGGCCAAGAAATCTGGGTTTAAATCTTGCCTCAGATACTTGCTAGCTGTGTCAGCTTAGGTAAGTCATTTAACCTCTCTATGTGACTTTTTCCCCATTTGTATAATGAGACAGTTGTATTTGATAGCCTCTAAGGGCCTCTCCAGTTCTAAATCTATGATCCTACAAATTTGTGTATTATAAAAATGTTCACTGTGATTTCTTGTAAGTTCTTTAAGGGATCATGTTAGATTAATGAGTTATATGAATTTATTAAAAAATATGATTAAGTTATTTGAGTTCAAAGATATTTCTATCGGTCTTCAAGTCCTAGGAAAAATCTGGCTGATAAAGATTCATTCTATTAGCATTTGCCTTAAATAACACTAAAAGCAGATGCAGGGAAAGAAAGTTTATGGTAGGGTTTCCTGCCCAACCCCCCCACGCCTCCGCAATTGAAGTAAATTTCCCTGACTGCCCAGCCAAGAGTTCTTAACCTTTATATTAATGAAGTTTTATTTGTACAGTAACTTTCTATGAGATGCTCAGGGCTCACAATATTTCATCATTTAGGGAAGGCAGGTATTAGAACTATCTAATACTAAAGATTTGGAAACACAATGAGATTT